GATATGGAGAAATGCAACAAGCTACAAGAAAACTCAGTGAACTGAAGAATAAAATTAGTGAACAGGAGGGGTGCCGTACTGAAGAGACTGAAATTCTAAACAGGAACTACGCAGAACTTCTGGAATGAAAGACTTCAATGAGTGAGAGGATGAATGTACTAGAAACCATTTGCAATGGTGCTGATCAGCTGGAAAAGAATAAGCGACTGGGAAGGTGGGGATCTAGAAATGATTTTGAAGAAGAGGAGAGAGAACTAAGACCTTTAAAAACTAAAGCAATCCTGTAAGAGTTCTTAGACTCCATTAGGAGAGTTAAAATAAGAGTGAATAATGTGTATACCACCAGGAGAAGAGGGGGGGCAGAAGGATGATTTAAGAAAGTAATAGCTGTGAACTTCCCAGACCTAGGGAAGACCTAGGTGTGCAAGTCCATGAAGCTGTTAGACCACTTTGCTCTCTCAGTGCCAAGAGATCTTCTCCAAGACATTGTAATGGAGCTGTGAAAGTTAATGACAAAGAAAGAATCTTTAAGACATTGAAGGAAAAAAAGAAAGTCCTCTACAAGGGAATCCCCATTGGACAATAAGCAAATTTCTAAGCAGAAGTCTGCAGGGGAGGAGGGTGTGGAATGACGTATTCAAAGTATTGAAAGGTAAACATTGCCAGCCAACCGTACCCCACCCAGGAGAGTTGTCCTTCAGAAAACAGAGAAGCAGAGACCTTTCTCAACAAACAAAAGCCAGATGAGTTCATGACCTCTAGCCCTGCATTACAAGAAATGTTACAAGGAGTTCTACTCTTTAAAATAAAAAGATAAAAATAAAAAAAATTTAAGATGATAAAAAGGCAAAACTGGAAAACTATAACTCTATTTTAAAATAGGGTGTTAAATCATCACATGTAGCATGAAGGTTAAAAATGCATTAAAAACTATTATAGTGACTAAAATTTGGTAATGAACTTGCCGTAAAAAAGGGGTCATTTGTGATGGAAAATAGTATAAAAACGAGGAGGAAAATGATGGGACGTGAATATGCAAATGAAAATAAGCTGCTATCACAATAAAAAAAAGGACTATTTTTATCTGTGAAATATTTTATAAAGACCTCATGGTAATCACAAAAGTCTACAATAAAGACACAAAAACATATAAAAAGGGGGGAAACTGACCACATCATCATAGAAAATCACCAAACTTCAAAAGGTAGAAACACAAAGAAAAATAAGTGACGGAGATGCAAAACAACCAGGAAACGAGAGATAATGGCAATTGTAAGTCCCGATATATCAATAATTATCCTGAATGGAAATGGATTGGACTCACCGGTCAAAGGCACAGAGTAGCTGCATGAAGTGAAAAACAAGGTCCACCTAAAGGCTGCCTTCAGGAGGGTCATTTCAGTTCCAAAGACACACAGGGACTCAGAGTGAAGGGGCGGAAGAGACCAGTGCAAGCAAATGGTAACCAAAAGTGAGTAGATATAGTCATACTTATATCAGACACACAGACTTCAAGTCAAAAACAGTCACAAGAGACAAAGAAGGCTGAGGTATGATAAAGAAGAAGTCGATATACCAAAGAGATATAACGATTATAAATACATTTGCTCCGAACACATGAGCACTAAAATATATTAATACTGGCATATTTTAATAGAGAAATAGAAAACAATACCGTAATAGTAGGGGACTTCAGTACCCCTCTATGAGCAATGGTTAGAACATCCAGGTAGAAAATAAGCAAGGAAACGGGGTATTTGAGCCAACTATCAAAAAAAGAACTAAATACACGCATATGGACTATTCCTTCCAACAGCAGCAGGAACACATTCTTCACAAGGGCACCTGGGATGTTCTTCAGGAGAGATTATAAAATAAGCCTTAAAACTGATGTTAACAGTTCTCTCAGACCACACTGGCAGAAATTACAAGCCAACAATAAGAGGAGAGTGAGTAGATCGTCAAATATGGGGAAACTCAACCACACACTTTTAAATAACCAGTGGTTCCAAGAAGAGATCAAAAGGGAAACAAAAATATACCTCAAAACAAGTGACTATGAAAATACAGCATTTTGAAGTTTGTGGGATGCAGCAAAAGCAGCTCTAAGAGGAAAGGTTGTAGCAATAACACATAGATTAGAAAACTCTTAAATGAGAAACCTATCTTTACAGCCCAGGAAACAAGAAAAAGGAAAAAAATGGGGCCCAAACTCTGTAGAAGGAAGGAAACAATAAAAATTAGAGCAAGAAAAAAATGAAGTAGAGACCAGAAAAACTATAGACAGGATCAATGAATCTAAAAACTGGTTCTTGAAAAAGATAAACAAAATTGACAAATCTTTAGCCAGACGAAGAAAAAAGAGAGGAGTTAAATAAATAAAATTGGAAGCAAAAGAAGAGACCTTACAACTGCTACCACAAAATTATAGAGAGCTTATACAACTCAACACAAAAAAAGAACAGCAACAACATCAACAAAACAATCCAATTAAAAAAAAAATGGACAGAGGACCTGAATAGACATTTCTCCAAAGAGGGCATACAGATGGCCAAGAGACACATGAAAAGATGCCCAATATCAGTAATCATCAGAGAGATGCAACTTAAAACCACAGTGAGATATCACCTCACAGCTGTCAGAATCACTGTCATCAATAAATCAACACACAAGCGCTGGTGAGGATGTGGAGAAAAGGGATCCCTCGTGCACTGTTGGTGGGAATGCAGACGGGGGCAGCCACCGTGGAAAGCAGTATGGAGGTTCCTCAAAAAATTAACAGCGAAACTGCTTCATAACCCAGGGTTCCCACTTCTGAAGATAGACACAAAGAAGAAACCCTAAGCCATAATTTGAAAGAATATATGTGCCCCCTTGTGTTCATCTCAGCGTTGTTTACAGTAGCCAAACTTTGGAAGCAAGCAGCCCCCATGCGCATCAGTAGGCAAGTGGATAAGAAAAGCTGTGATACATTTACACAATGGAATACTACTCGGCTGTAAAAAAAAAAAAAAGAAAAGGAAAGAAAAAAAAATCTTACTTTGCAACAGCATGGATGGACCTGGAGAGTATTATGCTAAATGAAATAGTCAAAGAAAGACAAATACCATATGATTTCACTTCTGTGTGGAATCTAATGAACACAATAAATAAAATAGAAACCAACTCACAGACACTGAGAACAGACTGACAGCTGTCAGAGGGGAGCGGATGGAAAAGGTGAAGCAGGGGAGAGAGAGAGAGAAGGAGAGAATTATGAGAGTCAACCTGAACAATTTCATGCTAAACAGCACATCCATCCAGACTGGGGGACGGGGCGGAGACATAGAGCAGGCTGGTCCTGCATCCGTGTGTGGTGGATAAAAATGCAGGAGGGAGAACTCGGGAGTGAGGAATCCCAGCCTGGGGTTCCAGTGCCAGTAAAGTAAGTGCCCACAACTTCTGGCTGCAAAAAACCAGCAGATTTTTGCAACGAGTCTCGACCAGAGATTGGGTTGGTGTTAGAAACTTCTGGAGCCCCAAGCAGTTCCTCTTAAAGAACCCACACAGGGACTCCCCTACTCACGCTTCACTCCCTCTGGGCTCCAGCACCAGGGTGGGGGCTTGAAAGGCACCAGCAGCATCAAGGAAGGAGCTGAAGCGTCTGGCATCAAGGCGAGGCATCGTGACCCGTGGACATGAACAGTGGTGTGGGGATTGCCTGAGGGAGTTGGGGGGGGGGCTCGGTGGGGCGGGGCAAAGGGGGAACAATTGAGACAACTGTCATAGCATGATCAATAAAATATAATTTGTTAAAAAGTATCAGTTTGTGAGGAAATTAGATAGAAGTGTGGATGGGGGTATTAGGAGATAAGAACAGAAGGAAGGCAAGAGTTTGCGCTGTTGAAACAGGAGCATTCCTCAAAAAAAATGTCAACCTCACTATTGCTGGGGTGCAAGCAAGCACCAAAACTGCGCCCCAAAAGAGGTGTGGCAGATATTCAGAGCTCCCACTCATTCGTCGACCCTGTATTTACTGCTTGGAAATTATCCAGCTTATGAACATCATCTCTAAACCTTAAAACCACTCATAAGATAGGTGCTATTTCTCTATTTCTCACACGAGAAAACTGCGCTTCAGAAAGTTAAAATTACAGAGTCACAGCGGCCCAGCTAGTAAATAGAAAGACCGAGATTTGAACTGAAAATCTGCACTTTCCCCCTGTGTTCTGCTTGCTGCCCTTTGAAGTTGGTGGCTTGTGTTAGACAGCGAGGCATAGGGGAAAGGGTAAGGGAGACTTAGAAATCTCCTCTTGCCCTGGCTGCTGTAGCTCAGTGGATTGAGCACAGGCCTGCGAGCCAAACCACCGCAGTTCGATTCCCAGTCAGGGCACATGCCTGGGTTGCAGGCCAGTTCCCAGCAGGGGACACCCAAGAGGCAACCATACATCAATATTTCTCTCCCTCTCTCCTTCCCTTCTCCGCTAAAGATAAAGAAATGAAATCCATAAAAAAAGAAAAAAGAAATCTTTTCTTATTAGGTTGGTATATTCTCATTGCTGTCGCCACGGCATCATTTCAAAAACTCCAGTGGCGGTGGGAAGCTCAGTGTTGCCCCTTGCTGACTTGGTATTGGCCTTGATACAAAACAGGACAGGAACCAAGATGGCTGATCTTCCATCTCTCGTCAGGGGAAGATCTCACTCATGTCTTTTGTTCTGGTGCAAAGGGAAAATGAAATGAATCTCACTGTGAAGTGCAAATGAATCTCTCCACTGTTTTGTTCATTTCTACTGTTTACTCAAAAGTGGGAGAAACGCCGGGCCTGTGATACATCATCTTTTAGGCGCCTGGCAGCGTCCATTACGAATCCTATTCATCTGCTCCAACTAACAAGGATTAATTGTCTCGGTGAGGCAACCTGGCGTTGAAGTGATACATTGCTCAGACAGCTTGGAGTCTGGCCACTCATAAATCTCGCGTTCTGCCGGTTTATTCGTGTTTGTCTCTTTCTCCGACAGATGTGTGCCCAACCACTGCGAGCACGGTGGGAAGTGCTCCCAAACCTGGGACAGCTTCAGATGCACCTGTGATGACACAGGGTACAGCGGGGCCACCTGCCACAACTGTGAGTGCCAGTTCCTCTCACTTTGAGCTTGTAATTGCGCGATGTTCCCAGGTCTGCAGCTGCACTTCAAAGCTCAGCCACCCGCCTAGTCCACTGACTAAATCACTCGGTTCTGAAGAACCCAGATCGGTGGTTGTTTCTCTAGGACAGCATTCTGTTTGTCAAAATCTATGGTTTGGTGCCCAGTGGCTCAAAATAAGGGATCGGGGTTGGGGGGGACATTGTTTCCATCATTCGGTAAACATGCATTGAAATTGGAATGCTGGTCTTGGGGTTGACTCAATGTGTCTAAACTGTGTCTGTCTGGGTAGGTTGGGAAATGGCGTGAGAGCGATGATTCTGTCACTGGATCCCCATTTATGAGTCCATGAGAGAGGCAGCCAGAGTGGCATCTGAGCATCCAGTTTCTGGGGAATAGTCTTGTTCTCTGTCACAACTATTGGGCCACATGGTTTTGGGGTTTTTGTTTTGTGGGATTTTTTTTTTTTTGGTCAGAAAAAGATGAGCTAGAAAGGAGAATGAAGTCCATTGAAGTTGTCTATCTGAAATAAACACACAGGAAGACCAATTTTTTTAATATTAAAAATGAAAAGTAATAGGTAAGGTGACCAGTGCAATGCAGAAGGGCTTGTTTTGGGAGATGGCTTTGCCCCGAAAAGGCCCAGCAACTTCCTGTTTTGTCGATTGACAAAATTGTTGATCCAAAGAACATTTTGAAAGAAATATTAAGTCTGTAATTGTAACGTTGACTTTCCCAAAGTGCAACACTGTTCACAAAGGACTTTTGAAAACAGATTTGCCATGAAACCCACAGTTGGGAACAAGTTCATCTCTGTTCTATGTGTGGGAGGAGGGGGCCAGGGGAGGGGGCGAGCCCCCTTCTGTCTCTTTTCAACATTCGGAAAACCTGGAAATCTAACATCTAAACCCTCGGATTGTGCAGACCACCTTCTCCTCACTCTGAAGAAGTGAAGACAAACTAATACCATCAGAGTAGCGTTCTGGGGATCGTGGCAAATGTACTTCCCTGAGCCTTTTCCATCCTCGTCCGTAGTCATGTTCAATCAGAAATTGTGGTCGGAAACACTGGGAGACCTTGACTAAGAAAAAATATTTGTGATTTATTTTATGGCACTTATTTATGTTTTTCGGAAGATATTTTAAAGCATGAGACAAAAAGCCCTAAAAAATTAGCAATAATAGGAAGATACACAGAAGAATTAAAAGGGTGAACACTTAGTAATTCATCAACTGTAAAGCGTATATATGTTATATATATATACATATACATATATATGAATGTGAGAAAGTATTTTAATGAATAAAAAATAACACATTGAAATGAATTAGAATAAAGGAGTTATAACTAAAATTGCCTTTCCAATCACATCAAACATCAACTTTCAGTATATAATACTCATTATATGGTAAGCTTGAATTAGGTAACTTGTATAAAACTAAGTAGTTTTACTTCACCACATAATTGACATAGTATCATCCTATAAATACCACCTCTAACTCCAAGGGGTTTTGCTTCTGAATATGGAAACTCTAAGGACAAGCAGTGAGAAACCGGCAGTCGTTATAAGGGTTTCCCATCTCAGTGGCAACTTTGATATTGAATTAAAAAGCAAATAACTATTTTTATAGCTGCTGAACTCCACAGCAAAAAAAAAAAATTTAAATATTCAACATTCTAAAAAAAATTCAGTATGCTACTGGTTGAATAGTTGTGTGTGTGTGTGTGTGTGTGTGTGTGTGTGTGTGTGTGTTTAAAATAGTAATAATCGCTCCAAGTATTAGGAACATACTGAGTGAGTTTAGGTTGGTCTCTAGTTCAAGGTCTAGATGCAAAAGTGGAAGATTACATCCTTCTTGTTGTTTATTCCTACTCACTCCTTGTTCCCATCTTGTGTCTGTCACAGTAGAACCTTCCGTTCTAACGATGAGACCCTGAACCCTTTTGGTCCTCTCTGAAGGAGGCCAAAATCATGAGCATTCAGTGTGTGCCTCAGTAGAGCTTAGAAGACCATAGCACGCGATTCAAGAAAGGGTCAATCAGACACTATTTTGTTGTAAAAAAGAAAAACTGTAGCTTATTGAAGAAACTGAAAGATTTGCTGTATCTCTTAGCTACTTCCACAGATTAATTAAAAGTTGGGTATGTCTGGCCCAGCTCATAACAATATAAAAATATATAATCTATGCCCTTCAGCCTGATGCAGAATGAACAATTTTGCATTTTTTCTTGGTCGGTGGCCGTGTTCATAGAAGGAGCATTGAGGTGCAAAGATGCCACCTTGTGCTTGCTGTGAAACGGTGATGCTGGTGCCCTTCCTGCAAGTCCCTGACTTCTTTTGGAACTTCCTTCCTCCCCCTGTGCTCAGTCGCATGCTGCCGAGTTCTCTCACAGTTCTGAGAGCCAGTGAGCCTTTCTTCTAGTTGCTTATGCTGCCTTCTGGCATTTTGAACTTTGTTAGTAATGTTAAATAGTTTACCCCATTTCCTGCAGAGGACTAAGCTTGCCTTTTGAAAAGAAGTTGGCAAGGTAAAGAGTGGCTATGTCGAATCTAAAGTTGAGTGTAACTAAATATTCAGCAGAGCTTCAAACATACAACTGGGCCACTAGTTCAGCACATTTTCCACACTGGTCCAGGCTCGGTCAGGATGAGACAGCTGTTTCTCAGTGACCTGTGATCATCCAGGCTAGAGGTTGGCTTCCAGGACGGAACCTTCTGGATAGGTCACACTGCCTAAGTTTGAACTTGGCTATACCACTTACTTATCGTACTCAGAACCTCGAGTCTTTAAACTCTTTGAACTTCAGCTACCTCCTGGTGAGATAGGTATAGCAATAGCATCCTCATAAACCCACGGAGAGATCAAATGAGAAAATTTATGGAGACTCGGCGGTGAGCTTAGCATATGTCGGTCTCAATCAATTTTTTGCCATTTCATTCCTTTCAGAACTAATCATCCCTTCGCTCTAAACTTCTACACTGATAATTGTCCATATCACACTATTCGTCATCTAATTTTGTGCTGCCAGCCATTGTCGGCTGTCATTTCCATGGCAGATTTGGGCCTGAAGTGAGCGATCGATGCCCACGGTTGTGTTCATTCCCAGAAGAGTTGAAGAGAATTAGAAGTGATCTGTGTGAGTCCTAGACCTCCATTCATTTGTTTATCTGTTTGTTTATGCATGAAGAGTTTATTTTCAAACACAGTCTACGGTAGGGCTCAGGGGACCCCTATGTACAAACTCATCAGGACACCATCCTTCTGCTGAGGAAATCCCCTGGGAAAAGCCAGAGGTCCCTGGGGATGGTTAGATAGCAGGAAAGGAAAAGCTGGTTGTCCTGACCCCAAAACTAAAGAAGCTAGTTTGCGACAAAAGGTAAATACATCGAATTGTTGAAGTTTAACGCTTTTAAATTTTTTTTAGGCAGACATCCTGTTCTCGGTGAATTTCTAAAACTGACTAGTGGTATTATCATATCAAAATATCGCCTTTGGAGCGTGATCAGGCTGAATAGTGTGTCTGTTTTGTTATATCGGCTCGTCCTGACCTCACTGTGCCGGAAGTAAAAGAACGTGTCTTTCTGGCGAGCAGACCTTCCCTTGCACATCTGGTTCTTGTCTTTCGCTGCTGTTGAGACAATGGCAGCTGGTCATCCAGCTTAATTCCCAGTATTGTAAAGGCCCTTTCAGACCTACTACCATCTCATGTTTTCTCACATGTTCCTTGCACTTCGTAATTACAGTTCTAATTTGCATAAATTTTAAAAACTTGCCCTTATCTCAAGGCTCGGTGGATATTTTTTCTCATGCTGCTGGGGTCCATCTTTGACCTTCTTCATTCTTCCATGGAATATGAATCCCGTATGTGGAACTGCCCTGGACACTGCCTCCAGAGTGTCCTCAATAATATCCTTCGGGCTGTTTTCACAAGGGCAGGGGGATACCTGAAGGGCACAAGCAATGTTTAGGGCAGAACTGTAGAACCTTTAAATGCCAGGTCCTCATTCCAAGAAAAAAAAATTTCCCAAATATATTGTTACTAAAGGAGACAGTCTCACCTCGCCCAGATATGTAACCACGCCTCTTTCGAGTGGCAGTTCAAGCAGCTCAGCGACCTACACAGATCTCTTTCCATTTTTAAATCACATGATTTCTGAATTCTGAAACACTGAAAAAGAGCAGGTCCTGGTGTTGCCACACACACACAAAACTGAAATTTTTCTAGCAGCGTTAGGGGACACATTGCCATTTAAGAGGAAACTATTCTACGTGCTGTAGCCTGGACCTATTACTCTGGCTCCATAAATTTATAAACCATAAATGGCACAGCGTCTTACTTAGTACTGTGCATAGGAAACGTGAGTGGGTGTCAGCAGCCCACGCCGTGTTATTTATAGTCCATTGTCCTCATAAGTAATTTGATTCAGAGCATAATTTTAACCAGAAATGAATCCTCCCCATTTGCTGTGACACCAACTCAGGGCACCAACGCCTGGATTTATTGCCACGAGGGCGTGCAATGCCTCTATCCATTTGGAGCTGCCACAGACCTCAGCATCGAAGAAGATAACTCGGAATTTGAGTACTGCTGCCCGCCCTTTCCCTCCCCAAAGTGCAGTCATTGAATAGAATCATCTTCTCAGGGAATTGGACTCCATTGTTCAGCTGTAAATTCAACGGGCTTCTAAGGCCCCACTTGGTATGGCTGTGTCTTTAACCTTCCTGTATATATTTCTCTCTTTTCTCCCCCTGCCCCAGTCCTGTTGGCCTTCCTCCAGGGGTTCATAGGTGCCCTGTGCCCTTGTACAGCTCCCCCTCTCTGCCCTGACCGTCACCCCAGGACTCTTGCACATCCCCTCTTGCTGCTTTACCTGCTGTGTTCCTATGCATCATCCCTCAGCTCAATGGCCACCTCTCCACAATGCCATGATGAGGTCAAACCCTCTTACTCTAAAACAGATTTCTTCCTCTTCACCCTA